TGGCAATAATAGTTTAAAAATAAAAGGCCAATTCTGATGAAGTCAGTGACCATGTTAATTCACAATAGCTGAGAACTGACTTTAGTAGGTGCATGTTTTTGCTTATTTATACCATTAGGTTTGATGTAGGTTTCTGTTAGAGTTTCTGCAGTTAGAAAGTAGAAGTAAGTTTGGAGCGGTAGCGCAGATGTGTATGTAGTACCTCTGGATTTCAATTTTTTCCTAAAGTGTAGGGTGTTCAGAGGCACTACATTAGAAGAATGTTGTATATGGCAGTGCTTCCCCTCAGTGAATGCCATCTCTGCTTTCCTATGAAAAACCGTGCTTGGTAAATCCGGGCGCTAGTACCTGCACCTTCTGTATGCTTAGTAACAGCATGGGAGAAAGGTGCTCCAACAGCTGTGGGGCAGATAGTAATGCTGGATAACCCTGTGGTACTCAGAGACAAAGTTAATCTGCTGATTCGTGATGCATCCAGTGGAAATACTGTGTGAGCAGTTTCAAGTTTTCCTTGGAGAGCCTGTTGATGTAATTGAATAGTGCTTTCACTTGAATAGTTGATAGTGTGTCAGTAGAAAAGGCAGAGAGTGATGAGGGAAAGTGAGACAAACTAGCATGTTCCCTGAAGTGTAAAAGAAAAGGCATTTGGAGAGTGAGCTGAGCAACATTTCAAAACCCATCTTCATTTTCTTCAACACTGGTTAGAAGAAGGGAGTTTCCATGCATCTGAAGGGCTTGTTTGGGTAAGCGTGGGCAAATTTTTAAGGATTAGGAGGATTTAGGTGCTTGGAATTTGTTTTGTTACACATTATTTTGATTAAATAAAAACATTTGGACTTGATTAAATTAGTTTATCTGGAGCTGTTTAAGGTTGTTTGAGTATCTTGAAAACAAATTAGATGATGTAATTACATGGACAAACTGTGTATCCGTGGTTTCTTAGCTGCTTTGTTGATGATTTCATGCCCAATTCTTGTGTTTCCAACCAAGAATACGGCAGCTGTATCAGCATTCATGTTGCAAATGCTCTCCTTTTTCTATGCATTTGGCCTTTCAGAGACTCTCTAGGAGCATCTTGACACTCCTCTCCCTGACTCGTTTTGAACATACTCCCCAGGCTGGGGGGTGGAAATTAAGGCCTTTAGTTGCCAGAGAAATCAAAGGTTGTTGTAACCAATTAATTGCCCAAGGATGAGAAGAATACTTAAAATATTTGTAATTCCTTAAACCTGACTCTGTATTTCTAAAGGATGTATGTTCATTTATATTAAGAAATCATTAAATTTGTTTAATAATATGTTGACTGATCCTTAGAGACAATGGAGCGTCTTGGCTTACAGCAGATCTGAGTAAAGAATTTGTTGCATTTGGGTCCATTAATACTTTGTTTTGTTTGTAAGATACCCACGTGTGAACTGAAATTTCTTGTTGTCTTGTGCAGACCTATCTCCACGTTTTTATCAAGCTCTGAGCAGCTAGAGGATTTCACATCATAATGGATATTTTTATTTCCTTTTTTTTTTTCCCCCTTTTTAGAGGAAATGTCAACAGCCCAGTGTGAATCGGGCCCCAGGTGCACCCTTTGTCTGAATGTCAGTTGTGAACATACATGCAAACCCAGCATCTTCTCATGGTCTTGCCCAGCGTGTGGGTCTGGGTTTCGTCAGGAGTATCCCGTATGCTTCTGGCTGCGTTCAGCCGTTCTGTTTAAGTTCTTTAACCTCAGAGACAAAACAAAACAAAGCAAAAAGCTTTCAACAGAAGTTGAGCTGTTCAGACATAGCCTGGCTTTATATCCTGTTTCTGTCGTAAATGGTCACTTCCCCAGGGCTCTTTGGTCTTTGTTAACCTCAGATTCCCAGAGCCATCTCAAGGAAAAGTAGTGTTTCCTTCCTCTGCCTTTTTGGAAGCCTAACCCCCATCAGCTCACTTTTCTCAAATGTTCTGTGTGTAATTCCAGCTCTGGTGAGTGCATAAATTGTGTGCCTGTGATTTCCAGCACCCGTGTCATAACCAAATGTAGCCCTTTCTCCTGGCCATAAAACTACCCGAGGAAACATCGCAATTGGTGTGTGTACTTATAACACTTATTTAAAATTATCAGATATTTTATTTCAACATATTTCATTCATTGTTTTTGGGGGTATTCTAAAGTTGTCATAATATTTGCCATTTGAGATTATCAAGTTTTAAGTTTAGCCTGGCCATCACATCCCTGGCCCCATCCCTGGAAGTGTTCAAGGCCAGGCTGGATGAGGCTTGGAGCAACCTGGTCTAGTGGAAGGTGTCCCTGCCCATGGCAGGGGGGTTGGAACTAGATGGTCTGTAAGGTCCCTTCCAACCCAAACCATTCCATGATTCTATGATGCTATTTGTTTTTACATGGCTGAGTATAACTTAAAATTGTATATTACAGATTTTTTTTTTATTACAGAATTTTATATCCTCAGAATAGAGTTAATACATTCTCATTTAAATTTCATTCCTCATACAGCTCGGGATTTTTATTTTCTTTTATATGTAAATACTGAGAAATTAAACATTCTTCATTATTCACCTCATACTAGACCTTTCAGTGGCATTTCTTTGCACTTACTTGCACAAGTTATTTATGTGAATATCCACAGCAAACAGTTATGAAAAGGGACATGAATGAGCTCTTTTCTATGGGTATCTATCTTCACAGTATTTTTAACATAAACTTTTGTTTGCTTGAAAGCAAAGCTTTTCATGTACCTATTTGTGGCTCAGTGGCCTCCAGCAGGAGAGGAAAGCCCTATAATGCAGCGATACCTGCATGATGTGGCCTTCTGGATGCGAACAGCTCTGTAGGAACAGGAGCTTGTAAGACAGTAATTTATTTTGGTGGAAACCCTGGGTATATTTCTATTGTTTAAAAGCTGTATTTTGCATGTTACCTTGTTGCCTGGAGGCCAGAGAGGGGAAGTAATCAGTGGGATAGGCTTCTTGCACTCAGGGAATTCCTCAGTGAGACTATTACTGTTTGCCTTTACTTCACTGTACTTCTTTGAGAACACCAAATTGCTGTCTCCTTAATGCTGCTTTACACTGCTTTGTGTGCAGTGTTACTTGTGCAGGAGAACCACCTTAGGTTTCAAGCTCACTAAGGCAGATCTTTACAAGTATCTAAATTCTTTGTGTGTGGTCACCATTGCAGTAAACCTGCTTGTTGGTGGCTGCTCAGGGAGATGATGGTACCAGAGAAAGAGGTAGCTGTCATGCTTTAATGACTGCTGGGGTCAAAAAGCCCTCATTTTGCCCTGAAGTAAGAGTTATTCTGTAAGGATGTCTTTTACACACTCAGGCAAAGTTATAACCGTGTTGGGACCCAAAAAAGTGAGGCCTGCACTGGCATGGTAAGCCCACCAAAGTCAGATGGACCTTTTAGCACTTATTTGCAGTGCTACAGCTTGAAGTACTTTCAGTCAGTTTATATAAAAGGAAAATATGAGATAAGACAATAAAAATATTAAATATACATTTGCAGAACAGAGTGGAAGAACAATTCTGGCTGTTTACATTTGTGTGTGGACCTATCTGGTGATCGGGCAGAGCCATTCTGGATGCTGTCAATACAATGTGAGGGTGCTCTGTGACGAGCCCGGCTGATTGTGCTGTTTCTTGAGCACTCTTCCTGGGCCAAGCGCATTACGCATCTGGGTTGGAACTCCTTGGACTACTTTATCTTCTTGCAATGCACAACACATGGGTTCCTTTTCTAGTACGGCCCTTTTATGGTATTAATAATAGTAACAGGCTGTGGTTGTCCAGAGATTACAGCACTTGGAATTATAAGCATTAGGTTCCCTGTTACCTTGCATTCTCTACATACAGTTTCTCACTTTTATTGTAGTTCAGTATAGACCAAGTAATACCAATCCAGCAAAATGCCATAATTACTGTAAAATCTAGATTTTTATTTACTCCTTTAAACAGTCAGAATCTTATCTTAAAGCTGGCAGATGGATACTATATGCTATTTATCAAAAAAATCTTGGATTTCTGAAAAAAAGACCTTAGTTTGTCTTGAACAGGAACTTATGATATTTTTCCTGTTGCTTGTACATCATTTAGTTCTTGAAAATGCTGACAGCTCAGCTAGATTATGGTTGATTATAAAGTCCCACATCATATTTTTACTAAGTGCTGAAGCATGCCTATTACTGTTTGTATCTCTGAGTTAAGAAATACTTTTCATTTGATGTTGACATTTTTCGGCTTTCATCTGATAATTTATATTGATGTAAATGTGCAAGTACTAGCTGGCACAGAAGTCATTACCCTGTCTTTATACTGGATATTTTAATAATATATTTTAAGAATTTGGAACTTCTCCCTGAAATCATTTGCGTAGACTCTCATAATATTTTTATGATCTTCATGGGCGAGTACACAAATTAGCTTCTTTTACCTGAGAGATAAATATTAAGCAAAAACTAGATACTTAGTAAGCCGTGGTTTTCCAGAGAAAAAAGCCAAGGCTTACATTGAAAATGAAAAATTTATCCCCCGTACTAACTCCAGTGAGTTTTTCTTCAGGCTTCCAAGGAAGTAGAGGTGGCCCAGGATTTTCAGAAATGAAAGGCTGACTAAGTAAGAATATCTGTACCAAAGTGTGAATAAGAGGTGCAGCCAGGCACTACGTTAATTTAGCATGTTGTTTAGTAGCATAACGAATGAAAATAGGTGGGGTTTCTATGGGAAGAAAGTGCTTGCCGTGTCTGAAATGGAGAGAACGTGCGAACCAGGAAGAGGTCAAAAGGAAGGTTTGTCATGGAGAAAAGATGCGAATCAGCAGAGGTCACAGAGAAGGGAACTGGTTTGGCCACAAGGCATGTCAGATGGATAGTCGCTCTTCAAATGTCAGAACAAAGGGCCCCAGCCCTTTTCCCTTCCTCCTCAACTTCTGTGTAATACTTGGGCAGGTAATACCAAAGCTAAGGTAATTAACAAAATTTTTCTTTCTGTTTCCATTTCAGTTATTTGCCACCTTCCATGCATGAATGGAGGCCAGTGCAGCTCTCGAGATAAATGCCAGTGTCCTCCTAATTACACTGGTAAACTTTGTCAGATCCCTGTGCAGACTGCCAATAGTCCAAAACTGTACCATCACCCACAACAGGTGAACAAGGCTGCAGGATCACAAATTATCCACTCTACTCATACTTTACCACTGACGATGTCAGGACAGCAAGGTGTAAAAGGTAACTTTTTTTCTTAATAAATATTTTTTCCTTTGGAGTTGATTCTATTAACTAATTTTTGGTATCCAACCAGTAACCATAGTGATCTGTCTGCATAGTTTCAGTCTGGATACCACAACTTGAATTGTGAGCTCACCAAAATGACTGGGAAGTGTTTTGCTCCATGACTGAAGTAATAAGAAGGAACAGTGCTTTTGAAAAGTGTTTATAAGTAAATTTGCTTTGCTTTATGGTGGAATTTAATGTGTATTGTAGAGTCAAGGGATAATGCAGGGGGCTTCTTCTAGGAGTGTAGACCTGTTCAAAGAGAGAATGACTGTGGCTGAACAAAGTCCATAAAGTTGCAGGTGATGCCATGGTTACTAGCGGAGGGAAGAGACAATGTTTTTAACATAATAAAATTTAAATCTAACATAAAACTAAATCCACATTCTATATTTATCTTTTTTATATCATTTGGTAGAGTCTTTTAACTTAATTTTGCACTGAGCGTTTTCATGTAGATAAGCCATGATATGATTCAGTTATATAGAACATTCTTTCCAGGTGATATAACTATATCATAGAAAAAACTGGTAAGGATTTCCTACTGCTAATGCTGTGAAGAAAGCAGAGGACCAGAAACAAGAAAAGATGTGACGTTAATCAAATTTCGTCCTGTCAGAGAAAGTTCAGTTGCCTTGAGGTTTCCATTTCCCCTAATAGCTTTTAGTGAGGTGACAATTTCTGATGATTGGAGTGTTGGATTTGCTTCCTCTGTGTCCTGGGACTCTAGGTAGCATTTTTTCTGGGTGAGATCTGGTCATAGGGAGACACACGTGCAATTCAGTTTCACAACATATGAATTAGTGTGAAGTTGGTTTATTTGTTTGAATTGACAGGTTGATTTTTTTTTTTTTTCCCCTGGTCAAGGATAATTTTACAATTACCTCTCCAAGATTGCTACCTCCGAATGAACACAAAATATATGGGGGAAAGATTTGAGGACACCCAGTTGTTGGCAACTAGTTCCTGAATAACTTTGCTAAAAGAGGCCAAACTATTTATATGTTTGTGATAAATGTAACCTAGTGTAGTAATTCTGTTTCAGACAGGAACATAGCTGTGAGGAAAGTGTTGACAGTGTCCTTCTGAATACACAATATTTTATAAATGCATTAAAGTATCTGCTCCAACTTTCAATGGATTTGTTCACTAGGGACAGCCACACAGTCCATTGGGAAATAGTTACCACTGACATGTTGGAGTATTAGTCCCTAAAGCTCCCTAGCACTTTTCTGGCTCTTAAAAAGCCCAAAACAACAGGGGGGTAGTGAGAGAGTAAGAGAATATGTTTACCTAAATGTTCAGCAGAGCAGAAATTTATTCCTGTGACTATTTAATTCCAGATACAATTATTTTAGACAATAGGGTGGACCATAAACAAATTTTTTGAAGATGTAGTTATTTTTCAGATTTAGAGTTGCTGTCTTAAAATACACAATAGGTTTCTCATTGCTAAAGAGTCTGACCTCTTGAATATTTTTTTTCCTGTCTCTCTCAAGTCCTCATCAGAACCATCAGCAGTCACAATGCCTTTTCTTCCCTTTCCATGCCCAAATAAGGTTATTGGACTGTGGAGAGAGGAATGTTTCTTTTCTTTCAAGGAAAGAATAAAATAATTCATCCTGAAATGGCTGGCAGAAATAAAAATTAATCATCACATCTAGGCAGTTATCCAGGACCTGGAGAGGACTCTGGTAATAATACTGCATGGGGAGGACTGTAGTGATACTACTACGTGGGAGAAACCAGCCTAAATTTGATGTATTCAGCATCTGAACATCTCTTGGGTGGATTGATAGATCAAAGCAAAGCATTTCAGTGGTTTCTTTTGAGGGTTAATGTATTATTTAGATTTATCAACTGGAGAAACTAGTTGAAAGGATCCCTCTTCATACATAAAAATATATGATAATAAGTTGGGGTGAGTTTTGTTCTTTTCACAGCCAGACTATGCTGTCCTGTCTTAGCCTGCAAAACCAGTCTAATAGCCTAAGAAGGGCCTTACTGTTTCTCCTTGTAACACTGAATCTTTGCCTTGTGGGTTTACCTGTAACAGAACTCATGTAGCATAAATGTTGCTTGGAGGTAGTTTTCTACTACAGTCAAAATCTGAAGAGCCATTAAGGCCCACACAGCTGTATTTTGCTGACTTTCTACTATCTTTATCCTGGTATTTCTGTCTGCAATATCTTGAAGATTTTCATAAAGGAAACAATGCAGGGCAAAAGGAAATAAGTTTGTTTCTTTCAAGGGATTCCTGTGTGAGACCAATTAATACTGAAAATATGCCTAGAGAAAGGAAAATAATGTAAAAAAACAAAAGTAATTTCTACAAAATAATATAATTTAAAAGCAGCTAAAGTAAATGAAATGTGCTTCCTGGGAAGTGGAGGTATGAGCTTGAAATTTGTAAATAAGAACTGAAAATATCTAATCAAGTTCCTCAGAACAGTCCTGGCCTCCTGGAGGCAAGGAGTCAGTTCAGAAGACTCAACAATCCAGTATGTGTTATAGAGAAAGAATGTCATGATATTTGTCAGTTCTTGATGTTTGGAAGGTGTGTTACATTTAATGGATTGGCTGGCCTTGGGTAGTTTGTGTAGTACTTGGTGACGAGAGAGACCCTGTCAGACACAGTAAATGATAACTTCGTTATGCAGCCTATCAGTTATCAAACTTCTTGCACATCTATCCTCTCTGCCCCCACCTTTCCCCCCACATAATAATTTGAGTTACATGTAAAAAGGGCATTTTGTGTTTCAATGGAAAGAAGCTTGAGGGTCACAAACAGTTCCATGCACACTGAGTTGACTGGAGAGTCTCAATCTGTATACCCAGACTTAAAACTACAACTGTATTTAAAAACGGAAGTATCTGAGAAACCTTTCCTCCTGCTTTACCTGCCAACTCCTGAATTCAAAGTTCAGTGAAGGGAGTGGTGGTTTTTGATGGCTGAGATGCTGGCACGTGTTGCAGGGGCAAACTCAGGACTTGGCAGGTATATAAAGGTGAAGGGATGAAATCTGAAACTTTTTCTGTGTTCCAGAGAAAGATGATGGATCTGAAAAAGAAAATAAATCTTACTGTATATCCAAAAATAACCCAGTGGAGTTTGAATTCTGGAACTTTGAATGGGATTCCTATTACACAGGATGACCACAAATATTAATGTCACACCAGCCAACTTGGACATCCATGTTGATGTAGCAGTCTTTACAATGCCATAATGTCGTTCTTTCCTGAGTGAGGCGTTTTCATTTTCTGCTCTGTAAATGAGACTCTCTGCAATCTCTGTCTTTTCTCTACCCCAGACTGGGGCTTCATTTATATTTCAGTCACTTTAAGGTATTCTGTAGAAATTCTAATGTACAAAAAAGAAATGTCTTAGAGGTGCCTAGGATATCTTTTTTTGCCATATTTTATTACCATTTTTTCTTATGTGTTTTTCCTTCCATTGTTTTAGTGAAGTTCCCTCCTAACATAGTGAATATCCATGTGAAACATCCCCCTGAAGCCTCAGTTCAGATCCATCAAGTTTCACGGATTGACAGCACATCAACAGGACAAAAAGCGAAAGTACCTCAGCCGGGACATCCACAGGTCTCTTACCAAGGTCTTCCATATCAGAAGACCCAGAAAGGACATACTGCTTACACAAACCAACAACCCATTCCTCATATGTTTCCTGTTTCAGTTAAAACTCAGCTTGGGCGCTGCTTCCAGGAGACTATTGGGACACAGGTAAGAAATGTTTGCTAAGGCTTTGGAGACAGGTGACTTCAAAGCAATTATAAAAGAATGAAAAAAATTTTCACTAATCACCAGGAAAGGGCAGATATTATGCTCTTTTGGAAAAGAAAGTTATTTTGAGAATATGAAATTTTTACAAAATAACATTTTTTTGAACCTCCTTCTGTTTCAAGCTAATGTCTTTATTTTCTTTATTAATGGCTGTGGACTTGGATCCCTGACATTCTGGTTTCAGTTATTCTAGCCATACCTTCTCCATTTATAAGCTATTTCTCCAAATAAAAACCCATGACTCTAAATTCTAGGTCCATCTTTCTTAAGTGAAATCTAAGGTTACACCATCTTTCACAGCTTTTACTGTCCTTAGCTTTAATGAGTCTTTTTTTCATGTGCATCTCAACAGCCTGTGTTTTCCAAGGAGTCGCAGTTTTCATTGAAATCCTTATTCAACAGCTTCATGTGTTTTACAGTATTCTAGAGTAATGATTTGAATCTGTTGAAATGTGAGCATTGAATGGAGTAGAAAAATCATGAAAGCCGGTTGAGTGTTTGCTAGAGCATTAAAACCTTAGTTCAGCTTAAAATTATACGATCACAGGTTTTTTTTCATGTGGCTATTCAGAATTGCTTATCTTCTGTCAGCTGTTGGAAGCACTTTAGTAATCAATATAGTGCTATTGGGTTTGCATATTTGTGTATGTATGTAAATATACAGAGAGAAATAAAGCATATGTGAAAAGATTGGGGGAAAAAAATCCGGTAAGACTGTTTATTGCTTATCACCTTGCCGAAATTTAAATTTTCAGACTGAATATTTTTTATCTTCAGACTGAATTGTTTTGAGAGGTTTCAGAAAAAACACTCCCTTATTTTGAGGGATGATGTTACAGAAGGAGTATGGTGTTTTACTCAAGTTTAAAAAAAGAATTTGAGACTGTTTCATTGAAGATTAGTATCTTCTGTATGCTTTGAAGTGGAAACTTAAATTTGTCATGAAAGTCACTCTGCTTTTGGTCTTTCTAATAACATGCACCCAAATTTAGCCAAGCTTCAAGCAGCTAAATATAGATATATATTTCCAGTATATTCCACAGATATTTTTTAGATGTTGGCAGAAAAATTCTCCAACGACTTCATCTGCAGAGAGCGTGGTCTGTCTTCCCATCAGAGGCAGAGCACTCCTCATCCCTGAAATGCCAAACTGGAGCAAAATGTCCTTTGAAAGTGTTTCTTCTAGCTGTCAGTGAGTGCTGTGATGTGCGGTGTTAGAACTGACAGCAAGGAAGTTTTCTCAACTTATCACGGTTCCCAAGCAGCTCAAAAAAAAAAAAAAAAAAAAGGGAAGACACCTCACACAGCAGATCAGGGAGCTTTGGAGAATGTCAATGATGAAGGACAGATAAGAGCAGAAGAAGTATGGAATCAGAGGGAGGGTAACATAGGTGGGAGATTCCCTGGAACCTGAAACTGAAGTCACAGTTCCTGGTCTTGGTCATTCTCTGCCCGCTCCAAAGAACCGTTTCCTGTAAATTATTTTTCTCTACTCCTTTCAGCGACTGGCTTGTGCAGAGTATCGTAGCATCCTACTAGTGACACAATTAGCCCTAGTTTCAGGACTCATTGCTGTGGAATTAAAGATCCCCAAACCTGCTAATGCTAGACCATCACAGGAGGGTGTTTTAAAATACTTCATTCTGGAAAATGCTATGGAAGGAGTAAATTTAAATGTCGTCATGCCCCAAAAAGTGTTTCTAGAAAACTAGAGTTACTTTTGCATATGGAACATTGAAGACTAGTATTCTCTAATTGTTGAATGCTTGATTTAGGATTACTGTGTTAATTTATACTGATGAGCTCCTCTTCGTGCTTGTCTGTTTCAGGAATAGTAAAACTTTCAATTTGGTTTGTAAAATAGTAAAACCTTCTTTGGCAGCTGTTGAAGCACATGTTCAGATGAAAGTTTATGGATTTTACATGACAAAATGAAGCACTATTTCCACTCAGATATAGGGGAAGACAAAATTCCTTCCGCAATCTTAGACTTGGCATTGGGTGCTGCATCTTTTATGTCTTACCTGTTATGCTGGATAAATTTCCCGTCTGTTCTTTCTGCTGTGTGCATGAGTGAGGTATTTTGAATGACATATCCAAAACTTGCAGTGTGCTGTACATGGCCCTCACATTACAGTGGTTTTAAAACTAAAGCTTACTCATCACTCACCAGCAGACAGTAACATGCTCCTTTTAAAGGGGGAGAAAAGGGGAAATACGCTTACATTGCCCTCATGCCTGACTTGGAGACTGAGCATTTGGTAGGATTCCAATTTTTATAAGCTTTTTCAGTATTCCCCTGGAAAAACATGTCTTTGTCGTGTTCTCAAGAAACGGTAGTGCCTTCTAGTTCAGAATAATGCATGTTCTCATTTTTTACAGATTTCATTGATCCTCTCACTGTCAGTCTTGGAGAATAGTGTAAGGATTTCAGAGGCCTTTTCTTACTTAATTTAATGGTTCAGTTTAGAATCAGAGTTGTAGGGTGGCATTTTGTAGAGCATCCATTTAAGACTATGCAATAAATGTAGGTTTAAATGACACATTCACCTTTCAAATTTGAACCTGAAATTTTATGATTATTCATATAGTTAGGCAACGCGTATTATTTATTTGTGTATTCAGTATACCTTGAACTTGGAAAGACAATTTCTTTTTACTCTTAACTAGATCTGTTCTAAAATAATTTGATTTTCTGCTTCTTTCATATTTAGCAAAGTAAATGTCAAGAGTTCTCTATATTTCTTCAGATGAACTGCTAAACTGAGCTTTCCCTATGAGTAGCAATGTGATAAACGTCTTTTTTGGAGTTTATGCTTAGAGGATTTTGGTATGCTTACTTTTTTCAAGTCATCAGTGTTTATACTTCTTTTATTTTTTTGCAGGGTGGATTGTATATATGGCTTCAGAAATGTTTTATTAAATATCCTGAGCTCAGAGGTGACTTTACTGTCTGTAGAGCAGATTGATGGAAGGATATGTGTGTGGCCTCTTGTAGGCAAATCAACCGAGTTAATGACTTTCGGTCCAAGCTAAAAGCACAGGATAAAATCAGTATCAAAATCTCCATTGTGGTTTTGTGTGTGTAACCTCTACCATTCTGTGTTTGTCTCCGTCTTCTTCCTTGAATTTCAGATGGTCTTTCAATTACAAGTCCTCTGATTGTAATGCCTTTTTTTTTTTCACAACCTTCTGTGAAATATTTTTCATCTCCCAACACATTCTTCCTCACTCCACCTTAGTTAAATTCCTTTAATGTGCCTCATTCAACAACCGTAGTCTTGCAAAAACAGTAGGATAGTTGCTATACTTGAATCCCAAGACAGTCAGGGCCTATTTTCTGCCGTGCATTGCCAACAGAGCACATGCTGTTAAAGTTAGCAACTGGAGCCACCCCAAAGTGAAGCTTGGAAGACATTATAGTGCAGATAGTTGAAGAACCTGCTTGTATTCTCAGGCCTCCGATCACTCTTAATTAACAACATAGAAATAATTCTAGATCTCCTGTTCGCTTAGTTGTATTGTAACTATAGCCAAAGGCAGCAACCATGAGGACACCGTACTAAAACATCAGTCTGCGTGTTTAGAAGGACAGGACAGGAGGAGAGAGAGGCTAGAGAAATGAAATTTCCTGGTTAAAATTAGAATAGAATAAATAAAGATGTATGTTTTCATAAATACAGGTACATATGTATGTACATGTTGCTTAATTGTGACTGCTTTCTGAAGTGTCTTCAGCACTGGGAAATAAAGAAGAAAAAACTATAAAAGTGGGATTAATATTTCAATTTTTAAAAAGTAATATAGGAAGCAAATACAGTTCTGGACGGTTCTCTTTTCTACTCAAGTCAGTTCATGTTTCCTGGCTGCCTCTGTTTTCTGTGAGTGGAACACTTAGCAATTATTTCTCCAGTGGGATATGTTAATGATGATTGCTCCAGGATAGCTTGCCACGTTACACGATAGCTTACTATGATATGTCGCATACAAAAGTTGTTTTTCATCAAATGCTTTCCTAGCACCAAGAAGATTTTTGCAGGATATATCACAAACTAGAAGTTAAGCTGCAGGTCAGAAACTTACTGTTATCATGAAAATCTAGGAAACAAACCTTCACCTAAACTTGCACCTTGTTACGTAGAAAATGATGTTGAGAAAATAGAGACTTGAAGTTGGGAAAGAGATACAATGGAAGCAGTAGGGCAGAAGTCCCGCTTAGGATGGAGAACAGTAGATTTGTGGAGAACACTGTATGTTACGGTGCTTTCAAAAGCTGGAGGCTGGATCTGGTGTCCTGCAAGGTCTTTACAGCAACCTAGGCAACCTAGACCTGTGTTTTGAAATCCAAGTTGTCGTCGTCTTGGACCAGTGATTCTCTAAGTCCTATTTAAAAAGCAAGCAAATAAGGAAGATTACGTTTCACTTCTTTAGTTCCTCTTCAGCTGCTTTTCATTTTAATTCTAATAAAAATGCCTTTATTATAACACAGAATATCTTGTTATTTCCCAAAATACTTCTACAATGTTAGTGGTGCACCTAGTAAAGATTGTGTTGGTAATCTTCAGTCCAGTTCATTTTTCATATGATTAATTTGCATTTAAATCAAGAAAAGAATGCAGATGTCTACTGTCAAAATTCATATAAAGAGAATTAAGCACTACTTTTTTTTTTCCTCCCTTAAGATCACTTTGATGTGTCTACTAAGTGTATTCATGTGTTTTCCTGTGGTTACTGAATTTCAGTATTTTGGCTAAAAAAGTCTTTTTCTCAAAATTGATTTGGTCTCTTTTTTGCTTAACTGTAAAGAGGGAGGCATTTTTGCAAAACAGCAAGAAATTGGAGAAGCTGGTATTTCCAGATTTCTCTGAAGCAGGTTCTTTCTGACTAGATTCACAATTGATCCAGTTCTCTTCAGCAGGTATTTTTGAGTAGCAGTTTTA